GACAGCGCTGGAGTGAGAGAGCCACGTTCAGATCACGGCTTTTAAGCTGTGTGAGAGGAACAAAGAGCCTTGACGAAGGAATTAGCATAAAATTTAGCATTGAAAAGGCTGAATGATTAGCTTGTGACTGGTCACAGAAATAGCTATGTTAAAAGTTAAAGCATACACCTCCGCAGAGGCACCCATTGTTAAAAGGAATTAGCATAGAATTTAGCATTGAAATAGCTAAATTAAGGCATTCGCTTGTAACTGCTACAGAAATAGTTACGTTGAAGTCAGAGCATACACATTCACCGAGGCACTTAGTACAAATCAAAACAGGATAATTTAGCATTGAAATAACTAGGCGAATTTAGCATTGAAATAACTGGGTGATTTGCTGGTGACTGGTCACAGAAATGACTACACATCTGAAAAAATCAGACTTACACGCACCGAACTCGATCAGTTAGACAAGACACTCTACAAATCACACTTAAAATTGACAGCAACAATGTCTACATCGGATTGGGAACATGTAGACAATATGACTACCTCTTCGGCTGCCACTATGTCGAACAAATGTAGGGACAATTTGATTTCCAAATTCAATCACCTCTCCAGCAAAAAATCGGATCCACACACCGAAAAGATAGACGTCAACAAAGTCGTAATTAATCGCAGTAACAGTTCCATTTCTGATGGTGAAATCCGTTTTAGCTAAAGGTCTAAACTTTGCTGTCACACCGAGACACTTACCGGTTAATGATATCATTGCCCATGTCGACGTTGCACTCAAGGGCTTGAGTCACATCTCTGCAGACGTAGCAAGATCTGAAATCGCTGCAACCCTCAAAAACGCTAAGTTGCCACCTAGCAACATCAGCAAAGACGAACGTTTTGAATTATCTCAATTAAAAAAGAGGGATGATATTGTCGTTCTCTCAGCCGACAAAGGCAATGCCACTGTCATCATGGACAAAACAGAATATAACAACAAAATTCAAGAACTACTCAACGATGGCAGCTATACAAAAATAAAAAGAGATCCCACCAACAGCCTGGTCACCAAAACGAACAAAATTATCTCTGATTCAACAGCATTAACTGATGAGAACAAACAGTTCTTGTTGAAACCCTCTGCTGCCAGACCACCAAGATTATATGGCCTTCCAAAGATACACAAAGAAGATACACCCCTTCGTCCCATCGTCTCTACTATCAGCTCCCCCACCTACAAACTGGCACGTTTTCTGGCTGATATACTGCGACCTTTCACTGGAAAAACCACCTCTGCGGTACTAAATTCTACTCACCTGGTATCGACAATCAAAGACATTTCCCTGTCCCCAAACGACCTGCTTGTCAGTTTTGATGTGGTGTCCTTGTTCACCAAAGTCCCGGTACCTGACACCATCGCTATCATTGAAGACCTGGTTCATCAAGGACTGCATACTGATGTACCCCCCCTGGTGAGACATTGCTTAACCAACACATACTTCACCTGGAATGGAACTTTCTACAAACAAACTGAGGGCACCCCAATGGGCTCCCCCCTATCTCCGGTTGTAGCCAACGCATTCATGGAAAAATTTGAAACTGACGCCATCCAGACTGCCACTCTACGCCCGACCTTATGGAAGAGGTACGTTGATGACACCTTTGTCATCTGGCCACATGGCCAGCCTGCTCTAGACCAATTCCGCGACCACATCAATTCCATACACCCAGCCATCAGATTTACCATGGAGGTCGAAAAAGATGGCAAACTACTCTTTCTGGATGTCTTAATTAAAAGGAGACATGATGGTTCAATGAGCCACTCTGTCTACACGAAAGCTACCCATACAGATGCTTACTTGAAACCGGATTCCCACCACCATCCATCCCAGAAGAACTGCCTCATCAAGACTCTATACCATAGAGCCCAATGCATTTCCGACCAGGAACACATTACCAGTGAACTCAAGCACGTACACCAGGCTGTCAGGGCTAATGGCTACTCCGACTACACAATCCGCAAAGCCATCACTCCAGTCATGAAGAAGGATCCTCTTGTGGAGCCACTCAAAACCATCACCTTACCCTACATTGCAGGGGTCACTAAAAAGATCTCCAAAATCCTGAATAAACACAAGATCCAGGTCCGATTCAACACAGTACACAAAATCCGTGATTTAGTTCCATCTATAAAAGATGCTCTTCCAGACATACAGTACCCGGGCGTTTACAAACTAAAGTGCCTCTGTGGTAGTAGCTACATTGGAGAAACCAAAAGACATATCTCGGACCGCATCCGCGAACATAAAGCAGACTTGAAACACGGTAAGACGAACTCCTCTGCCGTGGCAGATCACTGTTACAATTCAGTGGGCTCACATGACATTGACTTCTCCAAGACGGAGGTTCTTTGCAAACCAACTGGCTACCATGAGAGATTCGTTCATGAGGCCATTCACATATACAAGCACAGAGACAATTTCAACCGAGAAGATGGATTCAGGCTTAGTAACCACTGGAAAGATGTGTTAAATCATTTCTGTTCCTAATTAATTGTAATTTTACGATGACCTTCAGACCGCAGCTCTTTCGCCAGCATTGCCTCTTAATACCTCTCACACCACGGTTAATGGTATGGTTTACAACATGGAGTATACTAGGGCTTCGCAGCTGTCTCTCTCCCCCTCCTCTGTTCCGACCATGGACAAACTCGTCCGTCTGAACGGGGCCCGTAGCTATCCGTGGTACGGAAATTTGAGGGTAAGAATCCACCCATTTTTTCGCCATATAGCATTGTGATATATAACGACTTATGGTTGGTAGCTTAGCTGATTGGAGAATATAGAGTTTATTGATAACATGAAGGTAATTTATATTTTAGTTTTTATTGGTTCACTATATAGTACTGTGAATAGTTCAGATGTGTAGTCATTTCTGTGACCAGTCACCAGCAAATCACCCAGTTATTTCAATGCTAAATTCGCCTAGTTATTTCAATGCTAAATTCTCCTGTTTTGATTTGTACTAAGTGCCTCGGTGAATGTGTATGCTCTGACTTCAACGTAACTATTTCTGTAGCAGTTACAAGCGAATGCCTTAATTTAGCTATTTCAATGCTAAATTCTATGCTAATTCCTTTTAACAATGGGTGCCTCTGCGGAGGTGTATGCTTTAACTTTTAACATAGCTATTTCTGTGACCAGTCACAAGCTAATCATTCAGCCTTTTCAATGCTAAATTTTATGCTAATTCCTTCGTCAAGGCTCTTTGTTCCTCTCACACAGCTTAAAAGCCGTGATCTGAACGTGGCTCTCTCACTCCAGCGCTGTCCTACCAGACAGTCTCGCTCCCTTCACCTGATGAAGGCCGCTTGTGTTGTGGCCGAAACGTCGTGAGAATATTATTGTGTTATTTTATTTTATCAATTTATTACTTTATTCTCATTCTACGTGACTTTACCGAAAGAACCAAAGAAGATGAATCATTGCAGTCACGAAAGCTTTAAATCGAAAAATAGAGTGATTTATATGGAAAGGGCAGAGAAATTAGTGACTCTAACAGAGAACACATGGGGTCACGAACGAGCAGGGTAGGAATGGGATGTAGTAGAGGGGTCAGGGGAGGTAAGAGGAAGAGAATGGGCAATCGAGAAGAGGTGGAGCTTTTAGAGAGAAACAGAAGTAGTTACGGAATGGGACTGCTTCATGTACAGGGGAAGTTTATTCTAATGGAGTTAAGCAAGGAGGGAGAAATATCGAAAATGAGATTTAGCACAGGCAGGAGGTACAGAGACAGAGAAGATTTCCAACGAAGAGCACGAGGGGGTACGTGCAAATAGATGAGAGAGATACAGTACGATAAGGTCGCTCTCCATTTACGCTAGCCAGCTCTATACTCTTTTGTTCTATTGGGTAAAGTCACGTAGGTGAAAATAAAATAACAAAAAATCACGACGTTTCGGCCACAACACAAGCGGCCTTCATCCTAGCAGTCACGAAAGCTTTAAATCTAGCTAGCCAGCTCATTGCACACAAGGACAGACAATACCCAGCTGAAGAATGTAATGAAAATCGTAACTGGGACACTAAAATAAATCCCATAACCTTGGTTACCTGTACCCTCCCCATATCGCCAGAGCAAACATCTGACTTGAAGCAGTAACACTCTTGGAATAAACGTGCTACCAAAACAAAGACCTGCCAATCAAAATCTACCTCAACAACCTCTTAAAAAGGAACCTGAAAACGTGTCTCTATCTTTCGCAATGGATCTCTGTGCATATACCTATGTCTGTATCTATGCGTCTCTGTATTTCTCTTTTTCTTATCTTTCTCTGTGCACTTGTTTCCATTTATTTCCCTCTCTCTCACTGTGTCTCAGCGTGTCTCTGAATGTCTGTTTCCATATATCATCATGTTAATTAACGTCTCTATATTTGTATAGATCTGCCCATCCAAACAGAGCTCAGCAACTGACTGAAAAGGTGCCCGAATCGAGGGAGCCAACTCGAAAACACGGCAGAAAGGCTCGGCTGCATGTGGGGAGGCATGCGAGACTGGTGGATGGACAATTAAGAGGATCAAGCCCCTCATCGTGGATCGCACCATCCAGCCATCAGGAAGCTCACTGGTGCACAGCTGTGGGCTACCTTACATCGTATTCACACTGCCCACGGCAGGTGCAATCACTTTTTCTAAAAGTATAAAATAATAGAATCATCCAAAAGCACACGGACCAGTGGAACACATCGTGAACTCATTAACACTGCTAGCATTCTCTGAGGGTATACGTGGCTCACACTCATTGTCCTCTGAAGAGAGCGGTTGGATTCACAACCCGGACATCGATTCGTGGTTGTTAGCCAGTAATTGGAACAAATTAGCGATGGATCATTAATCAATCTAAATGCCTCACATTCAATTCGAAGAAGTGTAGTGAGGTAGGAACTTGAGATGCATTATCAATGGAATACGTCTATATATGTGTCTGCATGATAGTGATGATAGTTGTTTGGTCCTTACAAATTGATTTTCCCCAGCCGGTAGCGTAGCACTCGGCATCATTGGCGAGGATTTGTCCCGGGTAGGGCAGAGAAGCAGGTTGGATCTTGTTGGTGAGCTGCACCGACTCATTCAGCTGAATGAGCGCGATATCAAACCTGGTGAGGGGTGCAGTTGACAGAGAGGGGAAGTGGCGTTAAACTTACGTTCGATAGTTAAAGGGATGAATGTTAAATTAAAACATATCATATGATGGTCAACGTGGAAAAGTAAACAAAACACACACTTTAGAGTTAATTCTATAATTGGCTGGAAAAATATTAAAATGTAAAAACCCAATACAGGACCCTCCTAATAAAGAGCTCTAGGACTCACGAACCACCCACATGGAAATAGTGGTACAGTACGCTTATGGCACATTATGGTATGGAACAGCTGAGCCGTAAGCTCAAAGGAAAGGAGGAGGAATTCGAGGCAAGATAGTCTTCACTTATACAACACATGAAATAAGTTATCAGGATGGATGGTTAGGCGACAGGGACTGAAGATAAGGGGCATAACCACTGAAGACTAGACAGGAGCCGGACTCAGAGGGTGGAAAGAAAATATGTTCGTTTATGTCGCCTTGTCATCTCTTCCCCCTTACATAAAAAGCTACCCTCTCTCCGTTCGGTGGAACCCCTTTGTATGGTTTGGGACAGCGAGTCTCTTCCCCACCTTTATACGCACTGCTTTTCATAACCGGTTCGGCTTATGTTGACGGAGTGTACGTGTGTCACAACGCGATGTAACGGGCCCAGACATTGCGGCAATAATATTAAATATTTTAAAAAGTAGTAAATTACATTATAGTAGAGGCTCTTCCGTTAGCAGCGGCATGAGCAAGACATCGAAGGGCCACAACCTTTTCATTTTCAATTGACAATGTCACATGCTTCCAATCGTCAGATTATTTACATTGTGATATATTTACCTGCAAATGTGACAAGAAATGTCACCCAACGACATAATTTTTGGCAGTAAAAGTTTGGAAGTCATGTCACAAAACAAACAAAAAGTACTGATCATCCTAACTTCCTATGCAGTCTTAATTTTCGAAGACTAATGAATTAATACAAAAATCAGAAGGGGCGTGCATCCATAATATATGTACCAATGTGTGCTTCCATGTAGATAATTTATTAAACTGGAAACACACAATTAGCTTTGAAGATATATTCACAGTTGTCTAAAAGCAGAAAATTACCGAGGCAGTTATATAGATAGAATGTGACAACATCTGTATGTGAACAAATCACTCCGATTGCATCATCAGATCTCGGAAACTGAGCAGGCATGTGCCAGGATAGTGCCTTGATTGACGATCATCATGTATAACACAGGTGATAAAGAATTGATATAGGCTGTTGGTTGGCTAACAGCAGAAAACAGTGTGGCAAAATCTATTGTTGTAATTACTATGCACAGTACACCTTATCTTCTATCACATCTTACTAATCTGTCCCATCCCGTCCTGTACGCCCCCAGACACTATCGTTCCTCTTTGCCTCCCTCGACCTGAGCCCAGTCTCGCTCTCGCTCCGTCTCCCTTCTCTCTCCCCTTCACTGGAACCAACTCCCACTGCAGCCAGAGTGCAATCACCTTCACGATACCAACAACAAGCTAAAGCTTCAGATATTTCTAAAAACGACCCCCATCTCTTCTCCCCTAGCCCATCATCCTGCTGCTACCGCTACTCCTTGTAGTTGTTGCTCTGTATCTACATCAGTCGTACGAAAGAAGAAGACCAAATATGTGCCTCCACACACCCCTTGCAGAGAAAGCTAGTCATTGTTTGGGCTGTTAACCAGCATTGGTTCAAGCACAGTCTGGCTCTGCTGCTGATGAGAAACTAAATGTTGAAACCGGTCTAGAGCTTTGTTTGCGCTGAACCATACAATCCTGTTGAAATTTTTGCATTTCCAGAAGGTAGTGTGGCTGATGGGATGTATAAAAAAAGAAAAACCTTTATTTGTTATGTGGGGAGACAGACTTATGAATAAAGTGTATTGTGTGCTTCATCATCATCCCTATCCATGGGCAGATAGCTCATAGTAGGTATCCACTGCACATTGTTGTCATTTGTTTCCACCTTCCTCTCTGTCTCGCAGTGCCAATAAGCTAAATTAGTGCGACATCTTTCTGGAACCAATCCGTTATATCATCATCAAATCATTCTCTGTTAGGTCTTCCTCTCTTTCCTGTTCCTTACATTTTTCCGAGCAACAACAACAAAAACACATTAAATATTCCTATTGTTGTCCATCCTACATACAGTATAGTATCCAAATAGTGCCAATTTCCTTCTCATTACAGCCTGCATCATCAGGTCTTCTTCTATGCGCAACATTTTTCTTACTTCTATGTTGGTCACTCTATGTTATTTCTGTGGCAATGCCCTTGGGGTAGGGACCGGGAAAAAGGTGGCTGGGCTCACTGCCCCCCTCCTTGCGTAGGGGTCAACGATTGTGAGCGTGGCATTTTTAAGGGAGGTGAAGGTGAGGGGAGGGTACGGGGCACATCACAACTTTTAAAAACCACAATCATTTTACGCCCAATGGTACCATTTTGTTGTAAAACGCCTTGGAATAAGGCGGTATATAAATCCGTATAAGATAATATTGTCTATGCTTCCTGCCACCACCAACACGCACTGACCAGTGTGGTTAAAGTGTGGGCAAATATCCCCCGTGACCTCCACGGTGTGGGGAGGCCCTCATCCAGCATTGGATTGCCAAATGGCTGTAGATACGAACCCGTCCGATGTATTTCCATTCCACGTCGGATGGACATATATTTTCTTGCTTTGCAAACAGATTTGTCCGTCTTTAGGACTTGTATAATTGTGTTTGGCCAGATACACGAACTCGGAGTAATTAGCACTGTAGAAGACAAAGAATAGCAGCAGCATATTACGGTCAATGGCTCAAATGGGTAAGATATACACTTTAAAAAAATGATTTGTATTGAAATATGAAAAAAACATTCACAAGAGGTTTTTTTTTTTGTGTTAGATTGCGTAAATATAAATGCGTTGTTAAACCCGCCACCATCCGAACAGCTAATTAGCAAGACTTGTCACGTAAAAAATTCGTTACACTTACAGCACACCGGTGTGTTGGACATCACATTTATCCCTCTATTTAAGAAGGAAATAAGAGGATTCTATCACAAATCTGGCCATCGCCTAATGATGCTAGTTGTACTTACTGATGAAACGTCGTAATCGAATTGTAAATGTTGTGGATTTACTCTCCAACAATCCAGTGTGCTAGACGAATGTAGTAACATGGAATGTGCCATTGTGGCGCATAGCGCTGGTTGCTGGCACAGAAGGGGATCGGCAGGTGTAGTATCCCTGTCTGCCAGCAGGATTGATGAGCCGGAGAGAGGGACTTGAGGCAAGGGGGGTAGAGGGGTACGTGTGGTAAAGCAGGGGAACTTTCTAGTGGGTTCTAGAAGGGGGGCATGGCCGAAGGCGGGGCGAGGAACCGTCGTGCTGCTGGAGTCTTTGTCATTGTCTTCACCTCCTCGGTGTTGTTGGTCAGGCAGCCTGTTAGCTATCCTGACCATAGTGTAGTTATTCCTTGTACCTGTGAAGGCTATAATAAAAATAGTGCCTCCTACTAGTAGTGTCTCTGAGTGACTCACTACACTAGTAAGGAATTGGCATGCTTTGTTTACGTGACAAACATTACTAATTGGCTGTCTCCGGCACATTTATATATTTATGCCATCGAACCCAAAAACCTCGATGGATAATATTGGTCGCGAAAGCCTACATGTTAAACTGGCCAGCGGTAGTGTAGCGGTTAGTATACTGTATTATAAACCCGGAGACTCGAGTGAGATTCTTGCTCACAGCCAACACCAGTGACGATTATCTGAACCTGTCCTGGACCCCCCCTAGGTCGACTCAGTCTCAAATAAACACTTGGTGCAGTGTGTAAACATCACCGCTAGGGAGACAAAGACGTCCGGGCGTGGTGCTGGCCACCCGTACTGGCCTTCATAGGTGTTTGCTTGCAGCACTTGTCCAAAAAGTATGTTAAGGCTATATGTGGGATCTTTGCATAGTAGTTAGTATGTTCTTCCCTTTTCTACATTGGTTTTCTCGAGGTTCTCCTGTTACCTCCGACAGCTAAAACATACATAGTAATTGGTGTTGGGGAAATATGTCAACGTGGGATCCTCCTTGAAAGTCACCTGACTCAGTGTGGGTAAATTTGTGAATGAATGGTTTTGGTGACCAAGCTGAGAGATCGCCAGGCAATGGCAGCCATCAATATTCTGTCATGAGACCTCCTTTGCCAGTAGCAAAATATCAGAATTGTTTTTTTTACCCTTTTTATCTGGCAACAAAACTGATACCTTTTTTTTTACAAGGGATCATGTTTGCATTAACCACAATACCTGCGGTCAAAAACCTATTCTTATATTTTGCTACTGGCAAAGGAGGTCTCATGATGTACATGCTTACTCTGAGCTCTCAATACTCTGATGGTGCGTTGTCTTTGAGTTGTGCGCCTTTTGGCGTCATCTGGTCCAACACCATGTGAGACAAGAAAAGCTGTCTAGGGTGTGGACCAATCAATTTAATCAGAGTTCTTTTTTGTTTGCATTTTGACTGCAGGTATTGTGGTTAATGCACACATGATCCCTTGTAAAAAAAACGGTATCAGTTTTAAATTTTGATTTAAAGCTTTTGCGACTGCAGTAATTCATATTCTTAGCTCTTTCGGTAAAGCCACGTTGAAAGGAAACAATAAAATATATATTTATAATTTTATTGTTTCCCTTCAACGTGGCGGTATCAGTTTTGTTTCCAGATAAAAAGGGTAAAAAACCTATTATTAATATTCTGGTCAAGCTAACTAATCAGCTAGTCCATGGGCAACTCTGTCAAACTCCTCTGATAAGCACGGTTGGCTACATATGGTGAGAATGAAGTTCAAATACATACGTACAATCACAGCACCAATGTTTGTGTGCTGAAAATATGGAATGAGACACTCACTATATGCAATGGGCTGCAGTCATCACCCATTCGCTGTTGATGAGGATGCCTCCGCAACTGTAGTTTGAAGCATTGGAACCAGCTTGATTGGAATACGATAACAGCAGGATCTGTGATGATATCATAGCATTACAAGAACATTTTATATCACAAAGGTAGAGATTGCAAACCACGGCATTCTTTGCATATCAATATTATACTGAGTGCAGGAATCCTCGCCAACCGCGGACTTTCCAACCACGGTTTTATGTATACGCGGTGTATTATTTGTATGCCAATTTAACAACCGCGGCCTGGGAATCTGAGTATCCACGAGTAATGACGGTTTTAACGAATTCGCGTGAACGTGTGTTACGTTATTGCATTACTGCATGACATTTTATTGCGTGATGTAATTAAAGACGTTTTGTACCGATACAGTTATTTTTGTTTTGCTTCCGATTCTGGGAAAGGGTTAATTTTGCACTTAATCACCGACCCGGAGCGTGCAACGTGCAGTAAAGGTGAGAGAGTGTTGCGTCTGTGGTCCGGAGGAAAAGGGGGAGTGTGGGCTGAGCTCCTCCTTCGTCTAACCAGCTCTTCCCCCATCATCTTATTGTCAGCATCGTCGTGAATTTTAAAGTTATGTAAAATGAATATAATGTTTATGTTGCATTGGGTTATAGTGTAATGTACTGTTTTCGGTGTTAAGTTAATAAACAGGAAACTTACATAAGCTATGACGAGTCTGACCGTGGCCGTGGTTCCCCAAACCCCCTGCTTCCCATAGGCCCTGTACTTTACCAACCGCGGTTTTGCCTACCGCGGCCTTTTCCAGGAACCTAACCCCCGCGGTTGGCGAGAGATTGCTGTACATAATTTGTTTTCATTCTCTACATTTACCTATTTTACATTCGAAATACTTCCTGTTTAATGTTTGGATTGATAAAGGGTAACATAAAACTACATAAATGGGGGTCAATTACGAACGAGAAACCAAACCCTCGTTTTCTCATTTGCCTTTGAGTTTGCGGAACATGGATGTTACAGATTTCGGCTATTTAAAGAATGTAACCCCGTGATGGGCAAGGGTATGCTGTATAAGGTAGTCAAGCAATGTTCGAAATGCTAGGTCTTCAAGAACTTGTCTAGATGTTCCTCAAAAGAAAGAGACTATTTAATTAACACCCCGAGATGTGTAATACTGTACCATACATTGGCTATCGATCACCAGGTGTCCTGTCAGCTAAATTTGTTAAGTTGGTCGACAGAGCCAACAAAGACTTCAGTTCATTCAGCTGAAGACAATTCTGCAGCATTCAAAATTATATGAATGACACTGATGATAAAAGTACAGATGATGTTACAGAAGCAAAGTGAGATCTCAGCTGAACATACATTTGGATGTCGTCCCCATAACAGTGCTAACACAGGTCTCAGAAATTAAAAGAGATGCTCCAACTGGAGCGATGTATATGCTGAACAAGATGATTCTGAGCACAGACCCTTGAGTAACCCCAAATGACACCTGGTGGACAGAGGACATAAAGCTACCAAAGATGACATACTATACACACGGTTGGTAAAATAAGATCGAAACCACTACAGGACAACCCCTTCTATGTCCATTATATGTTCCAGCTGCTCAAAAAGAACGGCATGAACAATCAAATCAAAGGCAGCACCAAGACCAAGAAGGACACCAGCACTGGGAAAACCCGGGACTGCATAAATCAATGGGTCGCTTACCACCCTACCAAAGCAGTCTCTGTACTAAACCGTAATATATCATTATAAGAATGTATATTCATTGATAAAATAAAATAACAATAAAATTCTCACGACGTTTCGGCCATTATAAGAATGTATATTCATTGATAAAATAAAATAACAATAAAATTCTCACGACGTTTCGGCCACAACACAAGCGGCCTTCATCAGGTGAAGGGACGAGACTGTCTGGAGGACAGCGCTGGAGCAAACAAAGCCACGTTCAGATCGCGACCTTTAAGCTGTGTGAGAAGAAACAAAGCGCCTTGACAAAGGAATTAGCATAGAATTTAGCATTGAAATAGCTGAGTGATTAGCTTGTGACTGGTCACAGAAATGGCTATGTTAAAGTCAAAGCATACACATCCACAGAGGCACCCCTTGACAAAGGAATTAGCATAGAATTTAGCATTGAAATAGCTGAGTGATTAGCTTGTGACTGGTCACAGAAATGGCTATGTTAAAGTCAAAGCATACACATTTACAGAGGCAACTAGTACAAATCAAACAGGAGAATTTAGCATTGAAATAACTAGGAGAATTTTGCATTGAAATAACTGAGTGATTAGCTTGTGACTGGTCACAGAAATGGCTATTTTAAAGTCAAAGCCTACACATCTGAGCTATTCACAGTAACTGGGTATACACTACACTATATAATGAATACTACATAGTGAACCCAATAAAAAACTAAAATATAACTTACCTCAATGTTATAAAAAACTCTATATATTCTCCAATCAGCTAAGCTACCATCAATAAGTCGTTATATATCACAATGGCGAAAAAATGGGTGGATTCTTACCCTCAACTTTAGCAATGCTAAATTCTATGCTAATTCCTTTGTCAAGGCGCTTTGTTTCTTCTCACACAGCTTAAAGGTTGCGATCTGAACGTGGCTTTGTTCGCTCCAGCGCTGTCCTCCAGACAGTCTCGTCCCTTCACCTGATGAAGGCCGCTTGTGTTGTGGCCGAAACGTCGTGAGAATTTTATCGTGTTATTTTACTTTATCAATTTATTATTTTATTCTCATTCTACATGACTTTACCGAAAGAACCAAAGAAGGCAATGAAACTGGATTTTCTTTGAAGAAAATAGCACGATCTTCGGGTTTTTTGAGAAATTAGGAGCATATTCTTAGCTCTTTCGGTAAAGTCACGTTGAAGGGAAACAATAAAATAATAAAATATATATAAAACAATAACAAATTCTCACGACGTTTCGAACATAACACAAACGGTCGTCATCAGGTGTGTCGGTTTGCATAAATGTATTTATTTTTAAATGGTGTATTTATTTATTTATTTAAAAAACGTCAGCGCCACGCGCAGCGATTTGGCAGTTTATTTAGAAGGACTAGTCCATCTATGTTCTGAAAAGAGGAGGGGGGAGACGAAAAATTAATGTATGCTGTCTGAAAGCCACTGTAAGCATGAACAATCAATTAAGACCTGAAATGGTTTATCAAATCTTTCCAATGATTGCTAAGCCAGAATCCATCTTCTCGGTTGAAATTGTCTCTGTGCTTGTATATGTGGATAGCCTCATGAACGAATCTCTCATGGTAGCCAGATGGCTTACAAATAACCTTTGTCTTGGAAAAGTCAATGTCATGTGAGCCTACTAAATTATAACAATGATCTGCCATGGCCGAGATCACGGATTTTATGTAATGTGTTGAAACGGACCTGGATCTTGTGTTTGTTCAAGATTTTGGAGATCTTTTTTGTGATCCCCGCAATGTAGGGTAAAGTGATGGTTTTGAAAGGCTCCTCAAGAGGGTCCTTCTTCATGGTTTGAGTGATAGCTTTGCGGATTGTATAGTCGGAGTAACCATTAGCCTTAAGAGCTTGGTGTACGTGCTTGAGTTCACTGCCTATGTGTTCCTGGTCAGATATGCATTGGGCTCTATGATACAGAGTCTTGATGAGAGAATTCTTCTGTGATAGATGGTGGTGGGAATCCGGTTTCAGATAAGCATCCGTATGGGTAGCTTTCCTGTAGACAGAGTGGCTCATTGAACCATCAGGTCTCTTTTTAATTAGGACATCCAGAAAAGGTAGCTTGCCATCTTTTTCGACTTCCATGGTAAATCTGATGGCTGGGTGTATGGAATTGATGTGGTCGAAGAATTGGTCTAGAGCAGGCCGGCTATGTGGTCAGATGACAAAAGTGTCATCCACATACCTCTTCCATAAGGTTGGGCGCAGAGTGGCAGTCTGGATGGTGTCTGTCTCAAATTTCTCCATGAAAATGTTAGCTATAACCGGAGATAGGGGGGAGCCCATTGGGGTGCCCTCAGTTTGTTTGTAGAAAGTTCCATTCCAAGTGAAGTATGTATTGGTTAAACAGTGTCTCACCAGGGGGGGTACCTCAGTGTTTAGTCCTTGATGAACCAAGCCTTCAATGATTGCGATGGTGTCAGGTACAGGAACCTTGGTGAATAAGGAAACTACATCAAAACTGACAAGCAGGTCGTCTGGGGACAGGGAAATACCCTTGATTGTCGATACCAGGTGAGTAGAATTTTGTACCGCAGAGGTGGTTTTTCCAGTGAAAGGACGCAGGATTTCAGACAAAAAACGAGCCAGTTTGTAGGTGGGGGAGTTGATAGTAGAGACGATGGGACGAAGGGGTGTATCTACTTTATGTATTTTTGGTAAGCCGTATAATCTTGGTGGCCTGGCAGCAGAAGGTTTCAACGAAAACTGTTTAGATTGATCAATTAATGCGGTTGAATCAGAAATTATTTTGTTGGTTTGTGTGACGAGGCTGTTGGTGGGATCTCTTTTTATTTTTGTATAACTACCATTGTTGAGTAATTCTTTAATTTTGTTGTTGTATTCTATTTTATCCATGATGACAGTAGCATTGCCCTTGTCAGCTGAGAGGACTACAATATCATCCCTCTTTTTTAATTTATATAATTCAAAACACATCAATTCCATACACCCAGCCATCAGATTTACCATGGAAGTCGAAAAAGATGGCAAGCTACCTTTTTTGGATGTCCTAATTAAAAAGAGACCTGATGGTTCAATGAGCCACTCTGTCTACAGGAAAGCTACCCATACGGATGCTTATCTGAAACCGGATTCCCACCACCAACCATCACAGAAGAATTCTCTCATCAAGACTCTGTATCATAGAGCCCAATGCATATCCGACCAGGAACACATAGGCAGTGAACTCAAGCACGTACACCAAGCTCTTAAGGCTAATGGTTACTCTGACTATACAATCCGCAAAGCTATCACTCAAACCATGAAGAAGGACCCTCTTGAGGAGCCTTTCAAAAACCATCACTTTACCCTACATTGCGGGGATCACAAAAAAGATCTCCAAAATCTTGAATAAACACAAGATCCAGGTCCGTTTCAACACATTACATAAAATCCGTGATCTGGTTCCGTCTGTAAAAGATGTGATTCCGGACATACAGTACCCTGGTGTCTATAAACTAAGTTGCCTCTGTGGTAGTAGTTACATTGGAGAAACCAAACGCCATGTCTCGGACCGCATTCGTGAACACAAAGCAGACCTTAAACACGGTAGGACCAACACCTCGGCCGTGGCAGATCATTGTTATAATTCAGTAGGCTCACATGACATTGACTTTTCCAAGACAAAGGTTCTTTGTAAGCCATCTGGCTACCATGAGAGATTCGTTCATGAGGCTATCCACATATACAAGCACAGAGACAATTTCAACCGAGAAGATGGATTCTGGCTTAGCAATCATTGGAAAGATTTGATAAACCATTTCAGGTCTTAATTGATTGTTCACGCTTACAGTGGCTTTCAGACAGCATACATTCATTTTTCGTCTCCCCCCTCCTCTTTTCAGAACATAGATGGACTAGTGCTTCTAAATAAATTGCCAAATCACTGCGCGTGACGCTAACGTTTTTAATAAATAAATAAATACACCGTTTAAAAATAAATAAATTTATGCAAACCGACACACCTGATGACGACCGTTTGTGTTATGGTCGAAACGTCGTGAGAATTTTTTATTTTTTATATATATTTTATTATCGTATTGTTTCCCTTCAACGTGACTTCATCGAAAGAGCTAAGAATATGAATTACTGCAGTCACGAAAGCTTTAAATCAAAAATTAGGAGCAATTTTATTGATGACAATATATGAGTCAAAATCATGTTGAAGATTATGTTTGACTTTGTTTGGAGATTTAGCTGATACCATCATGACAGTGTTATCAGTAAAGCAAGTTAATTTGAGTGCTTTAAGTATGGGATGTAAGTCGTGGAATTGTGCACAGCAATAGTGGCCTTTATCCAAGTTACTGAAGAGAAAATGCAATACATAGATCATTGTTGTGGTGGTGTAGTAATCCTCTCAAAAACCAGACTGTTTACTGCACAGGAGATTGTTCATTTTTAAATATAAGTTTATTTGTGATTTAAGTAATATTCCGAATATTTTAGTAACTGGTGAAAGGCCATGCTAGGGAGCATAAAAGAGAAGTCCCAAAAGCAATCGCAGCTGTCTGCTGGAATGGAACCCTTGGTTCTACGTATCATTGGTTATTCAGTATTCGGTCGTTACGCTCGGCATCGTGGATCAGGCAGTGCATTGCTGACCTGTCCCGGTTATGTAGTTACCCTTTTGGGGTCTAGTTAAACAGTGTAAGTTTACGTAGTTACCCTGTTGGGTTGTGAGAATAAACGTGTTGCTTCCAACTTCAAGTGTGTGCCTCCGTGGAACCCACTACACATATACCAGCAGACTTCGCCGAATGGGGATCGGGTGGGGGTGGTGGTTACCTTCCTGGAAAATATCGTGTTTGGGCAAAACCGCGTTCGACAAATTATAGACCCTACTTGAAAAATAGGGTTGCATTCTTGGCTCCGAAATTATAACCCCTTTCCTCTTTCAGTAACTAATTCTACAATAGACGCTCGATTATCCATGTGTGATTCATCCAATTTGCGGATTAACTGTGCACTTGAGATTTTTACATACTTGTATAAATGATGGATTATCACTCAACCCCAAATTAATAATCTAAAAACAGTTATACATTTTTATTCTTGGGAATGTTTTTTACAAGTTGCATGCTTGAAACGAACAAATATGTTACTCCGGTTAATCCAATATCCACGTAATCCCCTCTACAGTACAGAAGTTGCATATATTTATAACAGTGGGCAGAGTTCAATTGAGTGGATAGCAGCATTGCCACACATTGGTGTGGCAATGCTGCTATCCACTGAGTGGGCCGAGTCTTCTGCGCGGTAGCAGAAGTTATAACTGAGCATGACCAGTTGATCATAAGTATTTGTTCTAAATAGAAAGAGAAAGAATCTAAATTGTCAGTTGTGCTTAATTTTGAATGGTTTATCCAATCATTTATTTAGTGAGTTTTAATTTATACATTTATTTCCTGTTTTTTGGTATCGAGATCTGCAGTAAATTTATATTTTTGGGTGATCTGCGATTTTGACTTGTCCTTGGCCGTCCTCCCCGTCATTAGCATTCATAATTGAATATACTGTATATAATTTCTGCCATGTTATTGTACTAAAGATGTTGAGTCGCGTTCCATTTTTTTTGCGTGTGCATAATCTTTTTTTTTATATCACCTCCGCACAACACCCCCGTGTCCATCATGGGACCTCCTTTGCCAGTATCAAAATATAACAATAGGTTTTACAAACCAAACTGAAACCATTTGCAAGGAATCATGCCTGCATTAACTACATATACCTGTGGTGGACATGGTAGTATATGCAGCACAAAAAGCGACCAGCTCACCAAGAGCTCTTAATATATTGATAGTGCATTCTCTTTGTAATGTTCGCCTTTTGGCGTCCTCTGGTCTAACATTTTTTGAGAAAGTCAGCTGTCTCTGGTGTGGACCAATACGTTTAAAAGACAATGCATATACTACCAGAGCATGTTTTTGAGGCTATCCACATATACAAACACAGAGACAATTTCAACCGAGAAGATGGATTCTGGCTTAGCAATCATTGCAAGGATTTGATAAACCATTTCAGGTCTTAATTGATTGTGTTCACGCTTACAATGACGTTCAGACCGCATTCCATTCTCTTCCTCTCCCCCCTCCTCTTTCCCGAACATAGATTGACTCGTCCATCTAAATAATTGCCAAATCGCTGTCCGTGGTGTGAACGTTAAGAAAAAAACGCCACTTTTTTCAAATTTTCTTGCTCTGGTTTTCACACCTGATGATGATTGCTTGTGTTGCAGTCGAAACATCGTGATAATTTTGTTGTTTTATTTTTTTGTTTTTATTGTGACTTTACCGAAAGAACCAAGAATATCTTAACACCTGCTTAATTGCCAGAAAGGGTAAAACCTATTCTTACCTCCGTGTTCATTACTCTTCATGCACAGCGGCACTCAAGTCCGACACTCGCCTTCAACACTGCCACTTGAACGTTAATGATCCGCTACCTAGTTGTCAGTATGACTGACGTCAATGGAGTGGTCAGATGGATCTATGCGGCAAAATGTGCAAACATTTGCATTGTGCGTCCATTTAGTGTCCTTCAATGAGTGGACAGCTAGGAGAGATGCATGCAGTAATGCGGACAATTACGATGTCCCATTGTGCGTGTTGAGTGTACTACAGTATCACACACACAAAAAACATATATACGACATTATACTCTGGTATATAAATCGTTATCGCAGTCTATTCATTCGTACCTTGCAACGAATGCAGCACTCTCACGACACTACTTTTCGATGCGGAGATGAGGATGTTAGCAGCATGAAACCGCATAGAGTGGAAACATGTATAACTAAAACGATATTTTATTATACCAGGTACAGCCCACTGAGCTGTATATCTCTTTTTAAGAAGCGATCTGGCCACAAATGATAGCTCAACGAAGTGGGTTATCACGAGGAAATGTATCACAGTGAAATACTTTAAACTTTCTTAATGTGGAGGGAAAAACTGGAGTACCCGGAAAAAATCCACGTGTCCTCGGTGAGTAAAAGAACACGCAAACTCCAAAGATACAGAAAACAGACCTCGTTCGGCAAATCCGCGTTGGGAAAAGTTGTCCTGTATTGCCTTGAGAAGAGGCGATAGGTCATTTTTATTGAGAAGAGACCTCAGAGAGCTGCATTCTAATTAAATGATTCTTTCTTAGATATATTAATGACAGACAAATTGCATCGTTATCACCATCACATGAGAGACGACAGATGGGGTTTGGGGAGCCGCTCTCACCTGCCAGGGCCAGCTGTTGGGTGTTGCCTCCTCGCCATTGACGATGCGACTCTGCTGGGGGTTGACTTTGATTGCTCGATGTTTGTCGTCAAGCAGTAATGTGGTTCCTTCGTCATCCTGGGCTATGATGAGACCTGGGACACAGACACAACAGCGTGATATTGTTCATAACTAAATTATGAACGGAACTTTTATTTACCAGGTGAAGCTAACTGGACTATTAGCTATTTCTCAGAAGCGAATAGGCCAATAATGATAGCTCAACAAAGTGGATTATTACGTGAAAATTTACAGCAGCAATTTACTCTAAATGCACGTTTCTAAATGTGGAGGGAAACACCTGTTTACCCGAATAAAAATGGACATGGAGAACATGCAATCTCAAAATATACAGACGTCAGGGTCAGGATCGAACTCACAACCTCCTGCATACCAGGCGAGGGAGATAACATCCCGTCACTGCGGCACTCCAACTCAGGATTTAAATGCGCGTATTCACTAAGAGATAGACCGAGGGTGCAAATGATTCAGAGAAGCTTTCAAAGGACCTACCAGTGGAATTTCCAAATGGTATAGACACAATGGGAGGCTAATGGATGCCCAGGTGTGGTGAAGGGGTCACTTCCTATTGGTCATTCATGTTATGTATACTGATGATCTGGTGATTTCTGCCCACTGAGAAGTTGGAAACGGTATTGGACCTTACCATCAGCATCACAAAAACAAAGCATTTGCCTGGCTATTTTATGTCATTAAATGCTCCCCTCCCTCTACTGGCCTTGGTTGATGGGCAGTTGTGGAGAGGGTGGAGAGGTTTCCGTACCTGGGAAATGTACTCATGAGCAGCTCTGATTTGGCAGCACGTCAAGGAACATTAATTTGTTTAATTCAGGATTCAACATTTCAGCATCAAGAACAAAGCCCAGGAATCGTGTTCGTGTTGTGTCCCATAAAAGGCTCCGAGTAGCAACGTGTGTCGCCATCATTACACATCTATACTACTCTGAGTATAACTGCTATCTGTTACACGTATACCACTGAGTAGGACTGCTGCCTGTTACACGTGTAGTGACATAGAATGAGGCACTAGAGCGCGTAGCACTGGGGACTGGTAGATAATGGGATTGGGGGTAGCAGCCCGTTATACCAGTTGGACCCGTGGGTGAAGCCAAGAGCCTTCTGGGGGATCCAGAAGGGTGCATGGCCGAGGGTGGAGCCTGGCCTTGCTGGGGAGGATAAAAGGCGAGCTCCGGCTCACAGTATGGGCTTCTGCCATCTGGAGTGGAACTCGTCGTGCTGCCATCATCATGGTCTTCGCCTCTTCAAGCTGTGGGTCTGGAAGTTGTGAAGGCCTGAATAAACAAAAGAGATTGCCTCCTACTAGTGTATCTGAATTAGTACACTACATTTGGTGTCAGAAGTGTTAACGAGCGAAGAGGGCGACGGCGAGGAGGGTTCCCGGGCAGCCCCAGCAGCCGGGACCCCAGTGGGGGTTCCTGCAGAGGCAGTCCCAGTGGGGCAGTGGGTGAAGGACGACAATCCCGTGCCACCGCCGGCTGAAGAAAGGCTGCAGGCACTGAGCGCACGCATCATGGAGCTGCCCGCCTCCAGAGATGGCGCTGGTGGAGCAGCTGGGTAAGGAAGAGAAGAATAGGGGGATGCGACTCGGGGGCAGCGAACGGGCGACTCCGCCATCACTGCCATCAATGGGTGAAAATCGAGTCCTGCCGAATTTAACCTGCCGCCAATAGCTCATCCAGGGGAACCTTACATCGCGTAGTGGCTGCCGTTTATCAAAAAAATTTGGCTGCAGGGGGTGATTGGGCGGCTATCTGGCGGCGTTTTGCCGCTACTTGCTAGCCCACGGGGTAGTCCGATGCAGAGGCTCCATGTGCTCTTCCCACCGCAATGGACGACGATGTTTTGGCGGCGTTTTTTGCCATTCCCCAGGTGGACAGGGCGACGCTGCAGAAAGCATATGCCCAGTTGGCGGCGATTTTTGACCTGCCATCCAATGCGCGGTGGAAATTCGTGATGCGGCATCAGGGGGAGACCGAGATGCCCCTCGCCTTCCACAGGGCACTAATGTCGCTGGCCCAGGCTGTGTACCCAAAGATTGAGCAGGCGGGACTGGATTCTCTGGCGCTAGAGAAATCGTTGCCATTGGTTCAGCAAATGAGCGTTTTTTTGCGTGCCAAAGAGGAAGACGACCTGTCCTCAATTCAGGTAGCCCTATGCATCCAGGCCCACTGTACCTGCGACGGCATACCGGGGTGGCCGCCTGGGCTGGATTCCCGGGAGAAGAGGGCGACCAGGAGCATTGAGGATCTTCTCAGGTCTGCGTGTCGGGGAGTTGTAGCCAACGCGGGAGAGTCGGCGCGAGACGACAACGGGACCAGCGGTGGGGGGAACTTCCCTCCACCATGGCACGGCCCCGTTACCTGTTTCAGGTGTGGCCTACCAGGCCACATCTCCAGGCGCTGCCATGCTGACTTGGGGCAGTTTTTCCCAGCTTTGCAGTCCTCTGTCCTACCAGCCTCCACTCCTCTGGGCCCAAAGGCAGGTCGTGATACATCACATCATGGCCGACACCAGCCACCTTCATTGCAGTCGGTGTCGGGTGCACACGCTATCCTCCAGAATCGAGATACGGGGTGCGAAGAGGGTTCCTCAGTGCATGATAGTTGGCCGTGGGGGTCCGGGCAATGGACCGCACTGGCACCCCGTCTCATGGTGGCGGGAGCAGTATCATCCAGGGTAAGTAGATTTGTGCAGGGTGTTGAGGTGTGGGTGCTCATAGATAGGGGAGCATCCGCCACCATAATTTCCGGGATTGATCTTAGGACTTTGCCACTGATGGTGGGTTGCCTTAGTCCTGTGGGAAGTCCGTGTGTTGCCACTAATTGCCGGAGTGTAGGTATTGTGGGACAAATTGTGGCATTGATACAGGTTGGTGATGTTGAATGGACGGGCCTGTGTGTTGGTTTCGAGTTCATTGGCGGTGCCTTGTTTATTGGGGACTGATTTTTTTAAGAGGATGCCCCTCTGGATTTTGATTGACCCGGGTTGTGTTGAGCTACCGTTGGGGCATCGGTTGAGATTTGTGGAGTCCCCTACTGGGTTGTGTATGGCTAATGCTGTGGTTCGGGCCCTAGTGCGTGACAGTGTTATGGTTCTCCCGTGTGCACAGATGCTCGTACCCTTGAGGCTGGAGAAGCGTCTCGACCGGAAAATTATGTGGGTGGGGTTCTTTTAACCCCTTCGAATAGAGTGGTTCGTGGTCTCACTTTAATAGGGGCCCATACGATAGTGAGGGGGGATCAAGAGCCCTTCCTGTAAGTATTAAATATGGGGCTAGGTACCGCGGTAATACAGGCGGTTTGGTGTTGGCCCACGTGACGGCTACGTGTTGTGGAGAAACAGATGATGTAACCAATCGGGTCGTGGCCATGGTTGAATGGGAAGTGGTGGCTGATGGCTCATGGATGGATCCGTTCTGTGTGGGTAATCTGTATTTGTCGTGGGAGCAGAGGGGCGATTTGCGGGCATTGCTTTAGGAATTCTCCGATGTATTTAGTAAAGGTAAATTCGATCTTGGCCGCACGTCCCTGATGCATCACAATATTTATATGGGTAGCGCCGCTCCCATTAATCAGAACTCATTTCGGTTTAGTCCGAATGAGAAGGACCACGTTGGTCAGACGGTTGAGGAAATGTTGGCTGCTGATATAATCTCCCCATCAACCAGTCCGTGGGCTGCTCCCATTGTCCTGGTTCAAAATAAGGAAGGGAGTTTGCGTTTTTGTGTGGATTTTCAGATATTCAATAAATACTCCATGGTGGACACGTATCCGCTTCCATGGATGGACGATTCGTTGGATACCCTGCCGGGGGCTCCGTTTTTCACCCTGGATCTACTATCGGGGGTTTGGCAGTTACCCCTGGATGAAAGTTCCAAACCTAAAACTGCATTCCGGACACCGCAAGGGCTGTTTCAATTTAATGTGCTTCCATTGGGGTTTCACTCAGCTCCGGCCAGGTTCCACCGACTTATGAAGTTGGTACTGTCGGGGCTCCAATGGGAGTCATGTCTGATCTATTTGGATGACGTTATTGTCTTTGGACGTACGTTCCAGGAACATCTGCAGTGGTTTCATGTGGTTTTTATTAAAATTCGGGTGGCTATTTTGAAATTCAAGCCACAGAAATGTTACCTCTTGCAAAAGTAAATTTACTACCTGGGCCACATTGGTAGCGAGTCTAGGATCACCACGGACCCGGCAAAGACTGCGTGCATGCGTGAGTGGCCGACCGCCACGTCGGTGGGTAAGGTCCGCAGTTTTGTTGGGTTCGTGTCATATTACCACCTCTTCGTGCCCGGGTTTGCGACGATCACGAAGCCACTCCACGCTCTCATGGTGAAAGGCCAGAGATTTCAGTGGGGGAAGGAGGAGGAGGCCGCATTTGTTAAGCTGCACGACGGCCTCGTGAATGCACACCCCCCTTCAGTACCTTGATTTCTCCTTTCCGTTTATGTTGGATATGGACGCCAGTGATACCGGGATCGGCTCTGTGTTGTCACATGTGGAGAACGGGGGTGGAGAGCATGGTCACTTACAGTAACCAAGTACTGTCCCCCACAGAGCAGCGCTATTGTGTTACGTGCCGCGAGTTATTGGCTATCGTAAACTTTGTGCAGCGGTCCTGATAGGCAGTTCATGGTACGCACAAATCAGGCAGCTTTTCAATACGCACTACGCGTTGACCAGCCATCCGCGCAACTCTCACGATGGTTAGAAATCCAGCAAGATTATTCGTTCGTAGTCACCTATAGGAAAAGGTTACGCCACTGTAATGCGGACACTCTGGGATGGTGAACACCGAAGAGCCAGTGCTCGTGTTTGATGGGCGCCGGCCATTATTAGCAGGTGGATGCGGAGGAGCCGGGCGCCATTGTAGCATCAGTGGATGCTCCGCCACCCGTACCAGGGGTGGCGCGTGATAATACTATTGGTCTTGCACATGAGGAATGGGGGCCCCTCCAGGTGGAGGACGCCTCCTTACTGAAAATACGGCGCCACGTTGGTGCGCCAAGTGACAAGAAGGATCCAGGGAATATGTCCCGCGTGATCCT